CTTAATTTTAAGAAACTTAGTTAATAATTTCAGTTTTATATCCTAAAATCTTGATATAAGGCCAAGTTTATAGATTGATGCTTTAATCAATCAACAAATCAATAAACATTAATTAAGTGCTTACTATGTACCAAGTAGGCAGCTAAGTGGCACAGTAGATAGAACATAGGGCCTGAAGTCAAGGAGACCTGAGTTTAAATCTGGCCTCCGAGACTTACTAGTTGTATGACTCTGGGCAAGTCATTTAACTGTTTGCCTCAGTTTCCTTATGTGTAAAAAATAAACTGGAGAAGGAAATAGAAAACCACTCCAGTATCTTTGCCAACAAAACCCCAAATGGGGTCACAAAGAATTGGACACACCTGAAACAAATGAACTACAACAACAAATGGATCAAGTACTGTGCTAAGGAATACAAACAAAAAGCAAAAACAGTACCTACCCTCAAGAAGCTTACATTCTAAAAGGAGAGATAAAATGTATATAAGTAAGATATATAGATATGAAAGGCAACTAGAGATAAAGGCACTAAATCAGAGAGAACAGGAAAAGCCTCCTAAAGAAGGTAGCATGTGAGCTGAGCCTTTAAAGAAAACAGGAATTATGAGAACTGAAGGTAAGAAGGAAGAACATTCCAGATACAAGGGACAGCCAATGCCAAGACACGAAAGCAGAAGATGGAGTTTTCTGTATGAAGGACAGCTAGTAGATCGGTACTGGTGGACGGCAGAGAACATATTGGGCAATATAATACGTAAGAAGACTGGAAGGAAATAAGGGGCTACGTTGTGAGGAACTTTAAATGCCTAACAAAGGAGGAGATATTTGATATTGGAGGTAATATGGAGCTACTGGAGTCTACAGAGTAAACAGTGACACAATCAGACTTATGCTTCAGAAAAGTCACTTAAGCTGCTTGTGGAGGATGGACTGAAGAAGAGAGAAACCTGAGACAGAAACACCATTTAGAAGACTATTGGTGAAGACTAGAATTAGAAAATGATTACAAGCCTAGGTGAAAGATGGTATGGGAATGAATTAGGGAGGTGGGTATATGAGAAGAAAGAAGAGATATTATGGGGATGACAAGACCTGTTAACTAATTGTATATGTGTGGTGAGTATGAATGAGAAGTTAAGGATGATGACACTGAGGTTGCTTCAGGATTGTGTTATAGATAAACCTATGTTAGATAATAAGATTTCCATATTCCCCTGGGTAGGATCATAGTTTTAGTGATGGAAGAAACATAAGAGTCCATCGAGGCTGGCCTTCTCCTTTTATAGATAAGAAAATTTAAGTGACTCCCCAAGATCAGGGGTGGGATTTGAACTCAGGAACCAGATCTATTGCTTAGGTACTTTATGTAACTAAATTCTCTTGGAAAGGACCCAAGACAGATCTGATACAAAAAATGTTATGGTCAAACTATACTACAGTATTAATCATAATGATAGTAAAAGTAGTAAAAAAAAAATCTGAGTTTTCATAGACCCTTTAACCTCACAAATCCATTGATATCTGCAAGTAAAACCTGGTTATAAATTCTACTTTAGAGACAAAAAAAAAACTAAAAATGTATTTTCACACAATCATTCAATTTTTAAATATAAGTTGATTTTAAAGTATTATACAGAAAAGTATCAAAGCAAATGCTATCACTAAAATAGCAATGAAGCACTGTGCTCCAATTTACTTTCAAGTCAGGGTATAAATGACAAATTCTGACTATGCCATGCCAAGTAGAATATTTTGAACACAGAAAAAATGGGGATAAAATCGACTATGAAGCAACTACAAACCAATTACAGTTCATAAGTAAAAAGAGGCTGCTGCTGAAATATTGACAAGAAATGATGTTTTTCAGCAATGTTCTAGCATAAATGCCATAAACATTTATACTGCACTTCACTCAATAGTATTTTCCTTCAGTTTTCCATTGTATGGAAGAGGAAAAAAAATAGAACTAAGTAAGGTACTCTGATGCTTAAAATTTGCAAAGGAATTGAAAGAGGCACAAATCTCTCTCATATATAGGAGCTCTATTAAAAGAAAGTTAGAGGTGTACGTAGCATGGAAGAGATGCCGAGCAGAGATGACAAATGCTCTCAGCATTATCATATTCCCTTCAGAGAGCACTTGTCATACAGAAGTACATCAAGAGGTACAGAGAACTTTATAACCTTTAACTCTGCCTTTCATCACCATTTTCCCTTTAAATGACTCTCTTCTTATTTCTTTTATGAACTTTTTTTCCATAAAATTTGATGCTGTTTCATAGGCGAGAACAGCATACTAAAATAGAAATCTCTGATGGAAACAACAAAGTGGAAAAGCATTCAAATACTTTTCCAGAAATAGCATATGTATTATATACTTGAACATACCTACAGGTAAAACATTAAACATACTGATATATAATATGTATATGTGCTTTTAAAACTTAAGTAAGAGTCTATATAGCCAGTGTACTTCAAACAAATTAAATAGCACATTTAGCCAATATAAGGGTATCCGTCTTAAAAACAAGTGGGATTCCTTAGCATAAGCCAAATAATGCCACACTTATAGATCTGTTGAGTTGTCCTATATCCACATGGTGTATAATCTTACAATAATCCACCTTTGAAATAAAGTGAAAGATGAAAATAACTGTAACTGTATAAAAAAGATGGCACATTTCTTAAATGCTATTAGAGGTATAGCTTTAGGTTTCTCAGACAGGGAATATTTATTTCTTTGCTTTTAGTATAGATTATACCATGTTTTATTTTTTCCTCCTAAAGCTAGTTTTAGAAAAATCACTTCAGCAACTTCTATTACTTGGGCCCATTATGGAAAGAGTGTGCAAGATTAGGCAGATTTTTTTCTTTCCCTCACCCAGTCCCAATAACAACAACATAGGCATGGTGACAAAACTGAATGAAGTAATATATTTGCAATAAGAGACTGAGAGCAACCTCTAAACAGTGTTTCAATGGTAGATTAGATGGTTATTTTTAAATTATTCAAGGGTAATATTAAAATAGATTTATAAATCTGTACCAAATAAAGCCCAAGTAATTAGTTTTTATCCAGCCTTACTTGCCCTTCTGGACTAAAAGAGATGTCTAATCACCCAAAGGAATTTGACCTATCTATCCAAACAAGAAAGACCAAATGGATAAAGAATGTTTATTGACTAGATTTCAATATGCATTTGGATGGACACCCTATAAACTTGTCCAGTCGTATGTATAACTAGGACAGACAGCATAGATGGATAATGAGCTGGGCCCAGAATTGGAAGGGAAGAGGAGAATGAACTGGATTGATTTCAGGAAATTACAGAGTGCCTTTATTGAACTCAAGCTTCCCATGAAAGCAAAAGCCAACCAGTATAATACCAGCATTTTACCAGTGTTGGTATATGACAGCAAGACATATAATACCACTACCTCTAAAGACCTAAAGATGAATATCACATCAAGTGCAATGGAAAGGTCATGGTGTGTTAAGCAGGCTGCAACATGGAATCAACAAACATTGTCTGAAGAAAAAAAAACAAGACTAAAAAATATTATCCAAGGACTTGTATGATAGAAAGAGAAGATGGGCTAGCCAAATGACAAGAGTAGAGGATGACAGGTGGACAGGCAGAGTCCTCCACTGGTACCACCAAACCATTGTCAGGATAAAGAGAGGAAGGTCTCCTACATGTTGGGTGGACCCCTTCTGGCAAATTTTTGTGAGGACATGAACAAGAGGTGCACAGAACAGAATGGCACAGATAATATTCATTCTGCATGGTTGGAGGTAACTGCCAAATCGATGACATCACAGATCCATTTGAGTATTTGACTTCTCCAATAGAGGTAGACAAAAACAAAAATTAGTAAATCAGAATTATTTTCTCCTTACTCATAAAAGACTGGACAAGAAGGTGAGTATTTATTTACAATAGCTATTAAACAAAGATGTTTCTTATGTTACCCTGTAGAATCATAAAATTAGCTTCCATATGGTTTGCTCCAGAACAACCATCACTTTCCCTCTTTCTCCTTTCACTTCTTCTTTCTTCTTCTCATTTAGAACTGGACAAAAAATATAAAAACTAGTCCTTCACTTCCATTTTGGAAATTCCTACTGATGGCAAATTTATGACTGACTAAAGGCACAAAGAGAGAGAGAGAGAGAGAGAGAGAGAGAGAGAGAGAGAGAGAGAGAACTATGAATATTTGAAAACTAAGAGAGTAATACTGCTAAGATAATAAATGGAGTGATTGATGTTTTATGAAGAAAATATCAAATGGATAAATCTGAAGGTTCACTTAGGCCTATTACCACTTCTGTGAAAGATCTCATTCTTCCTTATTTTGTAATTAAGTTGTGAATACTATAACTACACAAATTTATTCTGCTTATAGGGGAAAAAAACACGGAAAATTGAAGGAAAACTACTTAGCATTCTCAATTAATTTGGTCCTTCATATATTTTGCCTTAGAATAAAATGCCTATTTTAAAATGTTTTGATTCATCTGTATTTGTTTCAAGTAGAAAAAATTGAATAAAACATACTTTATGTGTCACATTTCTTCTTAGATCATTTTTTTACTATTTTCTTAATAACTTCCTTTAAGGAAAAAAAAAGTAGGTGATGAGCTACTATTCAAAATAAAAGGGCAACTAGGTGGTACAGGGCACTGGCCCTGGATTCAGGAGGACCTGAGTTCAAATCTGCCTCAGACACATAACACTTACTAGCTGTGTGACCCTGGGCAAGTCACTTAACCCCACTGCTTAGCCAAAAATATGAAAAAATAAAAAATAAAAGACAACATGAAGACAAGATCAGCCAGAAGTTGCCCTGCTAGCACTCAACTTTAAAATAGGGTTTCAGGGTTGTGCTTTGGGCATCTAAATACTGTACTTTATATCTTTGAGGTAGAGCAAAGGAAAAACAACACAACAAAAAAATTCACAATTTTTAAAAAGATTCCTTTCTAACGCCAAATATCACTTATACTTTGGAGTCTTCTTTTACACAAAGTTGAGAAATGGTCTTCTTAATACGCAGAGCTGTCAAGCGAGCGGCCCCATTTGCATACCAACACTCCCTCATTATTCTACCCATTACTCGGAGTGCCTTGAAAAGAAGAGAATTTTATATTATTATTATTTTGGCTAGTGGCAGAAAATGAAAAAAGCTGAGCAGTAAAACCAATGAACTGAAATCAAGCTGTGATGAACAAACAGTAAACATGAGACTATAATTAGAGTTAAATTAAAATTAAATCATGCACCCAAATGCAAAAAATAATTCCACCTACACACATAGTTTTTATCCACAGAAAAATGAACTCCTCATTTAAAATTCAAATTTCTGGACTAGAAACTCATGGAGTTCCACTTTTCACTATTTGATGAGCAAGTCAGGTTGAGGTTCACATACAGCAGTTCAGGTAAAAATGTTTAAGATCAAGAGATGAGAGAAATGCAAAGAAGGGGAAAAAATTAGCTTTAAAAAAGACTCAAACATTCAGCCACATAAAATAATTGCTATAAAATAAGCCATTGTGGGGATGTATTGTAGCCATAGTAGCAGTCGTAGTAGGTGGGTAGATGGGATAGTGGATATAGTGATGGGCTTCAAGGCAGGAAGACCCAAGTTGAAATCCTTCCTCAGACACTTAATAGCTACATGATCCTGAGAAAAATTGCTAATTCTCTCTGGGCTTCATTTTCCTCATCTGTAAAATAAAGGTATTGAACTCAATGGCCTCTAAGGTCCCTTTCCATTCAAAATCTATTATTCCAAATTGAGGCAGCTCCAAATCCAGAAAGAAACAATTAGCTCTGAATTATTAAAGGATAAGCAGTTTGTGGATTATCCTTTTCTCTTCCACAAAAATTACTAAGAATACTTGCTACCTCCACTGGAAGCAGAACCAGAGAAATGAAGGTGCAGCAGAAGGGACTCAGGTTAAATACAAAGGGAAGAAATAGATCAAATATGAGTAGACAAAAGGAACTACAATAGGATAGATACCAATTATTCTGAGTAGTGATTCCAGCCATGAGTCATAGGTATTGAAAATCCCTTCTGGACCAACTATGATTTTAGTATTTGCAAAGCAAAGTAATAATAGATGATGATGATGATGATGATGATGATGATGATGATGATAGACTTACCTCACAACTTTGCCACTGGTTTGGTATATTTGGTCTATATTTCTGTTCACAAACAACTTTCCTCATGTCCTCTATTGAGGGATCTGAGGGCACCATGTCATAGAAAGGCAATTGGTACTCTTCAGTGATTCCTATGAGAAATTTGAAGAATAATTTATGATTCTCATGTGAATGACATATAAAGGTGGATTTTTTAAGATTATCTAACAGTATCTTCTTAACTTTATACCATTGCAGTAAACTAGGGAAGACTTAATAAATCATGAATATCAAAGATTTGCAACATTCACAATATCTCAATAACGATAACTGTTTTAAACACAATTGAAAATAAAATCTTTATTTCAGTAAAATGCATTTCAGAAATGATGAATGATCCCTCAGTTACAGAATTTGTTATAATTACATTAATCCTTCAGTGAATTATGCATGTACCACAATAAAATAGTTCTTTTGCCTAAAGAAATTTTGGACAATCTGATTGTTTCTGGTGTTCAGATGATAGAAGACAGCTACACCATCCCATCAAACTAAATATATCTTTTAGTGATTCTTTTTTAAATTAATTCTTTTATTCTGAACTTAAACATCAGAAAAGAGTATTCCCAGTTATACAGCAGAATACTGGAAATACATTGTATATTAAACCATAAGCCTTCACTTTGTACTCTTTGCTATTCTTATAATAAGTTCAATATATTCTTTAAAAACTGTCTTACTTGTCTGTGTTTCCTCCCGTGCATTAAAAAAAATGTTTCAATGGTCATCTCTTTTTCACATCACTATTGCTAACCCACCTCCAACCCTCTCCCTCAATTAAAAAATGGAAAGGAAAAGAAAACTATAACAAATAATCATAGTCAAGCAAAATAAATCCACCTACTAAGGACATCCAAAAATGTATGTCTCTTTCTGCACTATCACCTCTCTCATCAGGAGGTGAGTAATAATACTTCATCATTGGTTGGTCATTACATTGATCAGAGTTCTCAAGTCTTTCAGAGTTATCCTTTTATAAATTGCTCTCCTGGGTCTGCTCACTTTACTCTGCATCAGTTCATTCTGCCCAGGATTCTCTGAAATTGTCTTTTTCATCATTTCTTACTGCATAATAATATTCCACTACATCCAAAAACCACAGTCTATTTAGCAATTCACCAAATGATGGACAACATCTTTTTTTTCTACTTTTTCCTGTCTCCACTTGTTTCCCTAATTGAGTTTCATGTTTTTCTACACCAAACTCTTGATTGCTTATGTTCAATTCTCTTTTGCCTTATTCTAATAAGAATGAAGATCATTGAATGGGCACTCTTCCTTGCCTCTTCCTTCATATCCGTATGCTCTTCTTCTCACTAACTCTAATTATGAAATAATAAGTTCCACCCACTCCCCACACACACACCTTCTTGCTCCTTTCTATACTACTGTGTTTGTTTTTATCATCACTTCTCTTTCCCCTCCAAAAACCCTCAGAATAGAACCAATCCACCCTCAGATCCTTTATTTTTCTTATTTAAATCCATCAAACAACCTTTGAAACCATTAAGGCTCTAAAAGAACATTTTTTTCTTCTTTCCCTATTAGAAGAATGTAAGTACTACATCACCTTCAGCCCCTCCCAATTCTTCAAATAAATTTACCTTTCTAGGTTTCTTTTGATTCTTGTGTTTTCATTGGAAGTTTATTACACTATCTTCTACTGTTGAGTTCCTAGCCCTCCTTATAATTTCACTGATTGTTTCCTGCCAAGCTTCAGCCTTGGATTACTCCCACTATCCAATGCCTTTGCTCCTACACACATGCTGCTGAATGAAGGTGGAGAAAATCACAAACATTCTGACTGGGTCCACTACCAATTGATGTTACACAGCCTCGACTGAGCTATTACTGCTGCTACGTAATCCCACTATCTCCCTCAGCAATTTACTATCTCAATCTCCACAATGGCTCTTCCAAACTTTTTCATCCCTCCTCAAATCTGTCATGGCTCTCCCTACCCCGACCCATTCAACTGAGAACTCTGCATATTTTACAGAAGAAAAAAAAAGATGCCATTTGCCAAGACCCTCTTCCTCATCTCATATCACTCATATGCCTTCTACCACTCCTCCTTCAGCCTACTTCATACATACCTTACTCCTTACCAAAGAAGTCCCTCTACCTACTCAAATGATCTCATTCCCCCCATCTCCTCCAACAAATTCCCTCCTACTTTCCCTTTTACTGTAGAGGGCAACATCCTACTCCTAGTTCCTCAGATTCTCAACCTAGGTGTCATCCTCAACTCCTCACTCTCACCCTCATATCCAAGCTGTTGCCAAGACCTCTTGATTTCACCTCTACAACACCTCTCAAAAATGTGCCCCTTCTCTCCTCTGACACTTCCACCACTCTGGTGCATGCCCGAAGCACCTCATGCCTGGATTATTGTAACAGCTTGCTGGTAGATCTGCCCACCTCAAGTCTCTCCCCACTCTAGTCCATCCTCCATTCAGCCACCAAAGTCATTTTCCTAAAGCACAGGTCTGATCATGTCACTCTCCTACTCAGTAAATTTTGGTGACTCCTTAGCACCTCCAGGATCAAATACAAAATCCTCTGTCATTCAAACCCCTTTAATAACAGGGTCCTCTCCTGACTTTTCGGTCTTCTTACACCTCACCCTCCAACACATACTCTTCTTTCCAGATTCTCTCCCTCTTCATCTCTGCATAGTGGCTTTCCTAGATTCCTTTAAGTCTCAACTATAATCCTATATTCTACAGGAAGCCTTTCCAATCCCTCTTATTTCTAGTGTCTTCCCTTTCTTATTTATTTCCTATATTTCCTGTATATAGTTTGTACATATTTATTTGCTTATGACCTCCCTTACTAAATTGTAAGCTCCTTGAGGGCAGGGATTGTCTTTTGCTTTTTTTGTATTCTAGCACTTAGCACAATGCCTGACACATAGTAGGTGCTTAATAAACATTGACATTGAAAGTTCCTGGTATTTTTGTCAGGGATGCTTGAAAGCAATTTAGTTCATTAATAATCCATCCCCCCCCATAGTAGTATATTCAGCTTTGTAGGGTAAATAATTCTTGGCTATGTCTTTCACCTTTGGAAATATTGTAAGGAAGATCTCTCATTTATGTTAGAAGTTTCCAGGTCTCATGTGATCCTAACTTGGTACTTGAACTTCTTTCAGAATGGTTGCAGAGTTTTGTTTTGTTTTTACCGGGCAAGGAAACTGGATTTTGGCTAAGACATTACTGAGACTATTGCTTTTTGGGTCTCTTTCAAGAGGTGATCAGTAGATTCTTTTTATCTTTACTTTGCCCTTTCATTCTAAAAGACCTAGGCAGTTTTCATTTATGATTTCTTAAAATATACTATCTAGGTTTTCCTTTGCAGTTGTTTTTATATTAAGTATAGCTTACATTTTCTTCTTTTTATATTCTTTAGGTATCGTACTAATTTTTGATGTCTCACAGAGTCACTAATTTCTGTTTCAGAGTTCATTACTTGGGTAAGCTTTACCATTTTCTGCTATAAATTATTTATTCTCCTTCTAATACTTTTGATGATCATTTTATTTGATGATTATTTATCTATTTTTATAATCTTTAAAAAATGACACCATTTATTCTTTTTTAAATGTGTTTCCTTACTGACTTTACCTCTATGTAAATGAGCAAAAGAATGGAAGTGTATGGGTAGAGGACAGCATGACAGTGTCCAGGAAGGGTTATCAAGCTAATATTTCCTTTATATATAGAAATAAACAAAGACCTTCAAGATATATTAACATATTATTGTGTACTACAGTTATTGGTATATATGGTATATTCCTTTGCCTGTAATCTCTATAATAGCAGGAACTATATCTTATGTCAACACTTGTCTCATTGAGTACGTGGTATATCATTCTGCAAAAAATAGGTGCTTAATGTTTCTTGAATTGTACTGAATTAGCAATATGTTGTCAAAGCATATTTTGTTGAATGGGTAGCATCAGTTCAATGTGCTAGGGGAAAAAATTTTTAAATCACAAAACTCTCTTAACTTTTTGTTACTGTTCAGTCGTTTCAGTCATGTCAAATTCTCCATGATTCCATTTGGAGTTTCTTGGCAAAGAAACCACTGGAATGGTTTGCCATTTCTTTCGAAAACTTATTTTTGCAGATGAGGAACTAAGGCAAACACGGTTAAGTGACTTACTCAGGGTCACACAGCTAGTAAGTGTCTGACACCAGATTTGAACTCAGGAAGACAAGTCATCCTGATTCCAAAACCAGTGCTCTAACCACTGCACCACCTAGCTGCCCTAATTTATGTACATTTTAAAAGCAGTTATAAAATAATATATTATAAGACCTCAGAAGTAAGACATAATTACCTCCAACTGAACATCTCCGTGCTATTTCCCAATACACCAGACCAAGGGAATATATGTCAGCACGTTTGAAGGATTCAAAAATATTCATATTCATTGTATCATCAAGTACCTCAGGAGCCATATACCTTTAAAAGGAATTTATATTTTAGATTGTACACATGCACTTTATTGAAGTTCAGTAAAATGCTAGTGTGGTTGTGAGCTAGTATAATCTTTTCAGCAAACAAAATGGAAATATTGCAATAACATACTAAGAATCCACAAGAGGTAAGGGGAGCACCCATTAATTAAAACTAGCATTTGTTAGTTAAGCACCATGATTCAAGTCTCAGAATCTTCCAATCAGGTAGAGGGTCAGAGAGGACCAGGGAAAGTAATTATTAGTAAAACAGAGTAGCTTTGGTGTTACAGACACATTCTAGAAAATTCACCCAATCCTAGAGATTAGAACAGGAGCTTTTGGTTCAAGGGAAAGGGTAATTCCTCAGGGTTTTGATCAAATAATCCAGAAGACTTTACTGGAGTTGGCATTAAGGACTGGGGGCTTCTTGACTTCTACATATTTTTATATATCTTCAAGCTTTTAGGACAAGTTCTGAGCCAGATAAATCAGAATCACATTGACAAATTTAATTTCAAGAAAAAACTGGATCATGGCAATACTAGCAAGCAGAGACTGGGTTTCTGACCCAATGATCTCACTACAAGAATTATTAAAATAATTTTTAAGATTCCTTAGACTGAAGGATTAATAATTATTTTATTTTAAATAGTAGCAAAGATAGAAACAATCCATACGACCAATGACTGAGGAATGGGTGAACAAACTGTGATGTATGCACATACATGTTATGGTATCATCCCATAAAAAAGACAAAAATGAAGAATATGGAATAAAATGGAATAAAAAATGAAGAATATATGGAAAAAAACAGATATTAAGCAATACAGAGTGAAGAGAGAATAGAATATAAGCATAGAATGTCATGACAATAAAAAAATTATAACGATAATAATAGCAACAAAATAAGAAATAAAAATTGGGGGGAAAGACATCAAAAGGGGACACAGAAATAACATTATTTTGGTTAAAGTTACCACATTTTTCAAACTCCCAATATCTTAGAGATTGTAGTTAATGTAGTGAACACTTTTAATTCTGCTAGGTTTTGTTGATAATTATTAAGAATGGAAAAAAATTTAATTAGCATTCTTTTGTTCTTTCTCTTTGATCGAAGGTTTCTTACTGATCTTGTTTGCGTGTGAGTGCCAGTGCTGGGCAGAAAGCAGAGAAGTCAGGAGGAGTCATTGCCACAGTATCCCATTTACACATAGAACTAAACAAATAATCACAAAGCCACTCTTGCATCTAAAGGCTGGCACTAGAGATTGACAGGAATGGGGAGTTTGAGTAAGGACAAAGATTAGTATACACCTAAGTTGGATCTAAGAGAATTGTGTAAAAACCAAAACAAAATGTTACTGATTCAACATTAGTAATACAAGTTACAGCTGGGTGGACCAGAGTATACTCAATATTCCAGTACATAAACCAATGACCCAATAAATACATGACAAATAAAAATTATGCAGACACAGCATCCTCATCCACGAGCCCAAACTCACCACAAACTCTACTATGCCACCAACCTACACCATCCAGAAGCTCTAAGAAGATGACAGCCTTTGACAGCCAAGAAAACTTGCAACAACACCCTTGGGGGATTATGAACTTCCAGCCCTCGGGAGTTCACCTGGAGAAGTTGCTTGATTTTGAAGACACCCCAAAAGGTTCAATCAGAAACTAAGCTATTATATTTAGTTTGAAGGGCCTTTAACAACTCATGGGAATGTTTTATTTGAATGCTTCTAATTTCAAAATATTAAACAGAAGACCCTAAAGTAATGCCAATGGTAGAACAGAGTTTAGAAGTGGAAAAGAGGGGAAAAGGAACTAGCTGATAATCTAGGATGACTTTATCTTTCGAGTGTTGTCACCAAAGATAGTCCAGAACACTAAATATGTCTTCAGTAAGAAGGCATAGCCATATAAATGTGCATAGGTGATTTGTTTGTACTTCTCTTGCTACCTTTACTGTCAATGAGATTATGTACTCCTTGAAAGCAGTGATCACATCCAAAGATATATTATATTGCT